ATACAGGATAAACTGGAGATAATTAAGAGCTAGCATTAAGGGGAAATGGGAAAAACTTCTTGTAGAAGGTGGGATTTTTAGCCAGGACTTGAAGGAAGCCAGGGAAGTTAAGATAGGGAGACGAAGGAGAAATTTCCGGACAGGAGGTACAGATACAGCAAATGAGACTATAGTATCGGAAGATGGGAATGTCTTGTGTTAGGAACAGTAAGAAGGTTACCAGTGTGGCACCAGCCTTGCATGCCAGAGGACTTTGAACTTGAACTCAGTAGATCACAAAGAAGCACAGAAAATGTTTAAGCAGAAACAAATTGTGGGATCTCAGATGTGACGGACCATTTGGTGCCTTGCAAGAAAAGATGAATCAGAAAAATTCAGAGAAGCATGAGGGGATTCATGTGTTATTACCAAAGTGAAAGAAGCAGAATCAGGAACACAGTATGCAGGAGAACTTTAACAATGTAATTGGAAAGAACAAATGAAGGGAAGGGAAATTCTGTGTAATTATAAAGGCCAAGCTTGTCTCTCATCTCTTCTTTAGAAGGGATGAGAAAACATACTCTCTACTCTATGCGTGGATGGCAGACCATTGTCATGGAACAACACATATACTATTTCTAACTCATTTAATTTGTTTATTAGTTTTTCTGATCTTATTTTTCCCTCTTAAAAAAAAAGATTGACTAGAGTGGAGAGGGATATATTTGGAAAGGAAGTCAATGTAAGAACAAAAGTTTTCATCACTCATCCCCCCCAGCCCTGGTTATACTCAAAAGCTCTCTCCTAGATACTCCTACCTCTTCATACTCTCTCATTTGCTGACCTCATCAGTTTCCGTGGGTTTAATTATGATCTCAATTCAGATGATTCTCAGATCTATATAATCAGCCTTTGTTGCTCTCTGTGCACTAGTCGTTAATTTCTAACTGCTTATTGGATATTTCAAAGTAGATGTTCAAAATGCATCTCTCATTCAACACATATAAAACTTGAACTCTTAATCTCTTCCCATCACACATCTTTGTTTCTGCTGAGGGCAGCACCACCCTTCCAGTTGGCAGGGTTCACAAGCTTGGAGTTATATTCAACTCCTTACCCTCCTTCACGCAATCCAGATTCAAACTGTGGGATGTGGGACTAATTTTTCCAATCCTATCTACTTCTCTGGAAGTAGAGTCATTTCCTCTCTGGCTAGAGATTTCTATTAGTCCTTTTCCTGTTTAACTAGACTTTGGTCCTGGCCCAGTGCTCAACCAATCAATCACCAAACAGTTCTTCCTATGTTCCAGGCACTGTGCTAGGCACATGAAGTAAGCAAAATCAGTCCCTGTCCTCAGGTCATATTCTAATGGTGGAGACCACATTTAAGGCCTGGTACCCCCAGAGTGACAGCATACCTTGTGTCAGAATGTGGTCCCCCAAAATACATAAATGGTTTGGTTATAGCCCGGGTTTTTAACCATTTGGGAGGTCCTAGGCCTCTCTAGGGATCTCTAAGGATCCCTTCTCAGAATAATTTTAAATGTTTAATTAAATGTTTAAAACCAAATTCATAGGAAATTAATTACACTGAAATATAGTTACCAATTAAAAAAAAAAAGTTCATGGAACCCCCAGTTAAGAAATCCTGGCATTAGAGACTTACAGGGCATGTTTATTTGTCTCATTTTAAGAACAGACTCTCAACTTTAATTGGTCTGGGTTCTTGAAAACACAGGTAATAAAAGAGCTTGGGTAGGACACAGACAGAAGAGAGACTTTTTTTTTTTGCAAAAAGAACCGCATCATATACAAATGTTTATTTCATAGGAAACAATATGGGATTAACCCTATTCCACCATTCACCGCCACAGGCATCCAAGCTAATTTGGCTTTGTTGCGTATTTTGGAAACCACGGCCTTCCATCCACAATGGCGAACCCAATAAAAGAAACCTAATCTTACCTGGGCTAGAGGCCAGCTACACTGGAAGGAGAAACCGAAATAGAAAGAGCTGGGGATCAAAAGAGGGGGAGGACAAACAATGCGCTGAGCTGCCCCCAGCCTCTGTCAATAGGCCTTTGATGGAAACTGAAAGCAGAATGTGTCTGGGCATATGCTGTTGAGCCAGCCTGGCCTCATTCAGGGAAAAACCCAGAACAGAATGCAGCTGCTTTAGCTTCCCCAGAGGCCCGGCCCAGAAGGGAAAATGGACAAGACAGGCCCCAGCAAGACAGCCGCCAGAATGCTCTTTCCCTAGAGTTTTAATGAGGCAATTAGAGGACCAAAGAGCCATCTATAATGACAAATAGCCATCAGCCCACCCACCAGAGAGCAAGGAGTGGAGGGGATGGAGGGGAGGGGGGCAGGGAAAACAAAAGAGAGGAGGTAGGAAAGCCATTCTGCCTCAGCCTCAGAGAATCAGACAATTCGGGAAGGAATCTACTCTTCTTAAGAAGTGGGGGAATGAGGCCTACTGGAGAACGTCGGACTTGGAGGCAGCAAAGGCCTGAATTCCTCCCTCAGACACTGACTAGTTACCTATGTGGGCAAGATGAGCAAATCATGCAACCTGCCCAAGCCTCACTTCTCCTGTCTGTAAAAATCAGGAAAAATGATAGGATAATTAGGAAACGAATAAGGCCTATAATATTACTATCAAAGAATGAATGGATGAGCTAATACATGAATAAATAAATGAGAAAACATTTATTAAGTGCTTACCATGTGTAAAGCACTGGCTAAATGCTGGGGATCAAAAATATCCCAGAAGCGGGGATGGTCGTTTTTCTCAAGGAGCTTACAAGGGGCAGCTAGGTAGTTCAGTGGATAGAGCACTAGGCCTGGAGTCGGGAAGACTTGAGGTCAAATCTGGCCTCAGATGCTTACTGGCTGTGTGACCCTGGACAAGTCACTCAATGACTATTTGCCTCAGTTTCCTCCTTTGTCAAATGGAGAGATAATAACAACTCCTACCTCTCAGAGACGTTGTGAGAGGCAAATGATAAAATAACTGTAAAGCATTTAGCATGGTGCCTGGCACGTAGGAAGCACCATATAAATGTTAGCTTCTTATCCTTATTATTGTGATTATTATTATCATTATTACTAATTATAACAAGTGGCAGACAACACATGAAGGAGGTTTCAGCTACAAATGAAGTAGAAAGAACCAGTAGTCTTTAGGGTATAATAGCAAGGAAAATGGTAATATGTGTCCTTCAATATCTAATAAGTAGTAGTGGTATAAAACAGTAATAACAATATTTATTTGTTGTTGTTCAATTGCGTCCAATTCTTCATCACCCCATTTGGAGTCTTCTTCGCAAAGATACTGGAGCGGGCTTTTACAGTTTATTTTACAGATGAGGATCTGAGGCAAACAGGGTGAAGTGACTTGCCCAGGGTCACACAGCTAGTAAGTGTCTGAGGCTGTATTTGATATCATGAAGATGAGTCTTTCTGATTCCAAGCCTGGAGCTCCATGGTGCCACCTAGCTGACAATACTTATATAATACTTTAATGTGTATATATATATGTGTGTGTGTGTGTGTGTGTGTGTGTGTGTGTGTTACACACACACACACACACACACACACTAATACTATGATAATAATACTTTAAAGTTTACAAAGCCTTTTAGACAGGATCTCACATCAGCCTCACAGAAGGCACTACTGGCATTACAATCCCCATTTTACAGATGGGGAAAATAAGATTCAGAGGAGATACAGAACATGGCTATGATCACGTGGCTATTGAGCAGAAGGGCCAGGATTTGAATGCAGGTCCTCCTGACCTCAAGTCCATCCTTTTCTCTACTACCTTCTTCACAGGGTAGTCATGGATATTAACTGAGAAAATGATGAAAAGTACTGAGCCAAACTTAAAGCACTAGATAAAGGAGGAAGAGGAGAAGGAAGAGGAAGGAGAGGAAGAGGAGAAGGAAGGAGAAGAAGATGAAGAAGAGGAGAAAGAGGAAAGAGAAGGAGATAAGGAAGAGGAAGAAGAAGAGGAAGAAGGAGAAGAAGAGGAAGAAGAGATGGAGGAAGGAGAGGAAGAAGAGAAGGAAAAGGATGAAGAAGAAGAGAAGGAAGAGAAAGCGGAGGAAGAAGACAATAAAATGGAGGAGGAAGAAGAAGAGAAGACTAGAACAGATTATATCTTTAGGTCTCTGTTTCCTTCTCAGTAAAATACAGGTAGTTTTAGACAATCTCTTAATTCTCTTCCAACTGTAGAGTGGATGACTCTCTGATTCTTATCTAATTAACCTTTAGTTATCAACCACCTTGGCAAAGACAAGAGCTAGGATCTGGGTCTCAGGGTTTAAAGAGTAGATCTAATCCTATCAATCCAGGGCTCAAGAAGCTTCGATAGCTCCTTTCTGTTCACCTCTGTAATAAAATGTAAATTCCTCTGGCATCTGAAATATTTGACAACATGGCTCCAATCTACCTTTCTATGTGGATTTCATATTACTTATCTTCATTCATTCTTTTTAACAACAATGATGATAATAATGATAAGTACTTAGATGGTGCAGTAAAAAAAGGGCTGGACAGGGAGACAGGAAGACATTAATTCAAATTGTGCTGCAAATATTTACTAGCTGAGGGGCTTTAAGCAAGTAACGGTAACCTCTCAGCCTTGATTTCCTCATTGGTAAAAATGAAGATGCTAATATTCACATCTATGCACAGGGTTCCTGTGAGGATCAAATGAGATTGTATAAGTGAAGCTCCTTATAAACCTTAAAGTGCTCTATAAATGCTCACTACTTATAATTATAGTTAGCTTGATAATTGATAATAATGTCATTTACATAGCACTTTAAGGTTTACGAAGTGCTTTACATACGTTAACTCATTTCATCCAACCGAACCATTCCTTGTATATGACATTCCATTTCCCACCTCTTTGTCTTTGCATAGACTATCCCTCATGCCTGGAATACTTTTCCTGACTATGACCTCTTAAAATTCCAAGTTCCTTCTGGACTCAGCTTATATTATCTCCTACACAAGACCCTCCCTGATTCTCTCAGTTGCTAGTGACTTCTCTGGGAAGATTACTTTGAATCTCAATCGCTCTGTGTATGTATGTATGTATGTATGTATGTATATACACATATATAAACACACACATATACATATATAGATATAAATATTTTAGTAATATATATTAGTAAAACATTTACTAAATATATATTTATAAAACACATACATATATTTATATAAGTATGTTTAATATAAGTACATATATTTAGCAAATATATGCTTAGTAAATATGTTATATACATATAAATATACATATATGTTGCATGTATATGTGTCTGTGTGTTTTCAGTTATATCAACTCTCCATGACCCCATTTGGGGTTTTCTTGGCAAAGATACTGGAGTGGTTTGCCATTTCCTTCTCCAGCTCATTTTACAGATGAGGAAACTGAGACAAACAGGGTTAAGTGACTTATCCAGGGTAACACAGCTAGTAAGTGTGTGTGTGGGGGCACATCTGAGCTCAGGTCTTCCTGACTTCAGATCTAGTGCTCCATCTACTGCACCCGCCTATCCATCTTGATTATGAATGTACATACTGTTTCTCCCCAGGAGAGTGTAAGCTCTTGTTTAATTTAATTTTTGTTTTGTATCCCTATATATGTATTTTGGTACCTGGCAACAAAGTAAGTACTTCACAGCTAGCTGAATTAGTTGGCTGAAGAGGAAGCCCAGAGGTAAAGAAATCAGGAATCAAAGCCTTTGGAAAGACAGCTCTGAATTCAGTAGATCATTATGCCATGCCATTACCACAATAACTGACATTTTATAGTGCTCTTACATTTCCAATGAGGTTTGCATGTGGGTCAAGTGTCTGGTCTAAGGTCGGATTTGAACTCAGGTCCTCCTGACTTCAGGGTTGGTGCTCTATGCACTGCGCCACCTAGCTGCCCCAATGATCTCATTTTTTGTGCTCATTTCACAGATGATAAAACTGAGGATTAAAGAAGGTCACAGACTTGATCAAAGTTACACTGGAAGAGTCTGAGGTGAGGTTTGAACACAGGATTTCCTGACTGCAAGTCTATTACTCCTGAATTTGCCATTCTGCTTTAAGACAGAGAAAGATACCCCGAGCCCATAGTGCAGTAGTTTTATTCGTGTATTTATGCACGATCTGCTCACAGTGTAGTGGACAATGCTATCTTTGGAGGTAGGAAGGCCTGGGTTCAAATCCCACTTCTGAGTCCAGTGGTGTGCTGGTAAATGTTTAACAACTTGCTGGGGGTGGGGGTGGAGGGGCTGTATGCATGACACACTTTTAAAGTTTAATCTGAATTCTTAACATTTTCACTATCACATTATTATCTAGACAATAAAACAAGAAACTAAACTCTAATTCATAGTGTTTGCCAATTTCTGAACACTTCCACTGAAAATTGGACGATTGGCTCTCTTGAGCCTGGATGAGCAGGTCATGCTGGTTGTTTGACTCTGAGCAAATTACTTAATCTCTCAATGTTCAAGACAACTACTTAAAACTATAAAGTGCAGAGAAGATGCCCAACAGTGTGGGTAACAGTTCCCTCACCTGCGAGTTCCCTATGCCAACAAAATCCCAAGACCAGCCCTGCTCCTCCTTGCTCTGATGGTGGTATTCAGAGACCAGGCAGAACTGTCTCTTTTCTTTCCAGAAGCCTTTTATAGGAACACTCAGGAGATGCTCAGCCTGGAGAAGGTGAAGGGAGAAGCCTTAGGAAATGCTGGAGGGCCCCTGCTCTCCTCAAGGACAATAGAATCCTGGAGGTGACCACATAATGAATGCTCGCTTTATTAGCCAGGAACGCGCCTTTCCAATCTTCTGAGAAAAGACTAGGAAGAAAGAGTCTGCTGAGCATCACCCTTCTGCTTCCAAGTTAAAAAGCCAGACACTAGATGCACCTCACACTCACAGAGCCTGCAGAGACTATACTCCCATCCCAAGTCTTCCATGAGCCCTGGTTACTGAGGCACTTGCCGATTTAAACCACTTATTACAGAAACAAAGATTTGGACCTAAAAGGAGCCTTGGAAATCACTTAGGACCAAAGGATGGAAGAGCCAGAACTGGAAGGGACCTGAGCAGTCATTAAGTCCAGTGCTCTCATTTTATAGATGAGGGAAACTGAGGCCCAAAGAAGGAAAAGGGGGAGTACCCAACAACACCCAAGTAATACATAGCAAGGGAAAGCTACACTAACATTTGTACAGGCCTTTAAAGTCCTTCAAGGTCTAGCTAATATCCTCTTTTCTATAAGACACTTTTCCTGATACCCCTTTGGTTATGTCCAATTTATCCTGCATACAGCTTATTTGCACATAGCTATCTGCATATTATCTCCCCCGTTAGATAGTGAGTTCCTTCAGAGAACTTTTTTTTGTCTTTCTTTGTATCCTCAGTTCTTAGCACACGATCTGGCATATAAGGAGATGCTTAATTCACAGTATTTATTAATTAATATAGTAATTAATAATACATATTATTAATTAATATAGTAATTGATGATGCATTGTATTGATTAATATAGTAATTGATAATGCATAGTATTAATTAATTAATATAGTAGGTGATTGTTATGGTAAGGAAAGAAAGTATTGCAAGCATAGGGGACAGCCAGTAGCTTTGCACAGTGACTTTGTATCTAACTTGAATATGCCAATGAATGTCTAGGTTGTCTGTCCACCCCCCATTAGAATTTAAGCTCTCTGGGGGCAGGAACCAGTTTAAATTCTTCTTCACATATCCAGTTCCTTCCACAGTACTTGGGAATAGTTCCACGCTTAATAAATGTTTGTTAATTGACTAATAAAAAAATACACGCTTGTTAATTTGACAGAGCACCATATATTTATATATATATATATATATACATATATATATAATCTGTAATATATTATATTACAATATATTTTATTTATAGTTATATATAGTGACATATATTATACACATATGTCACTATATACCTTGATTGAGACTTGCCCCTTTGACAGCTCCAAGAACCAATCATTCAGTCTTCAACTGAATGGCTCAGTGATAGGTAGCCTACCCATTCAGGGAGTGTTATTACTAATAAAAGAGTAATGCAAGGGAAGGGCAGAAAGGATGTCACCAAAAAGATGCATGTTCTGAAATGTATGGAAGGGGACTGGTCATGTTGGGAACCAAGAGATAATGGATCAAGAAGCTCACATGCTCCAGTGGTTTCCATAGCATCATATTATACATGTTATTGTTGTTCAGTTGTTCTCAGTTGCGTTTGACTCTTCATGACCCCATTTGGGGTTTCCTTGGTGAAGATACTGGAGTGATTTGCTATTTCCTTTTCCAGCTCATTCTACAGATGAGGAAACTGAAGGAAATGGGGTTAAGTGACTTGCCCAGGGTCACACAGCTAATATCTGTAGCTGGATTTGAACTTGGAAAGAGGAGTCTTCCTGACTCAAAGTGCTATAAAATATGTTATCTCCATATATCCCCACAAAAAAAATCTGTGTGAGGAGAGAGGTGCTTTTAATGATCCATATGTATGTGTATGTACATGCATGTGGTTTTGTGTATGTATATGTATATGTATGTATATATACAGATATATAATATATATGTGTGTATGTATATGTGTATATGTACTGCTCTCTCTCCACACACACACACACACACACACACACACACACACACACACACGCACACGCACACGCACAGATAGAATCTGGGTAACAGATAGATTTCAGTAGCTGGCCAAGGGTCACACAACCAGTGTCAGAAGCAGGATTGGAGCCCAAGTCTTCCAGACTGGGAGTATGGTACTCTATCCACCGGAGGTGCTTTACTCTACACTCCATGCTTCTTTCTTTGTGAAGTCGGCTTTATTTAAGTAAGCATGTTCTGTAGTTCTCTGCCCAATCTCTGTTTTCAGATGAGAAAAGGTATTTGGCAATGTTGAGTCTGCCAGAGTAATGTTTCTACATTCAGAATAAAGGTCAATCTGACATTGTGTTTCCATTGTTGAAGGATCTGGGGTCTCACCCATATGGGTACTCCTAGTGATACAGACTTCTACCCATCTACGCCCGCTCCTTCTGGAGGATTTCGATCCATGTGCTTTCTTCAATCTTTTACAGGGATTCCATCCAATGGGCCCAAGATACTGTGTGGAGACCATTTGGGCTTCTCTACCCATCATCCCATGCTTTTCCCAAATGACTAGCCTCCCTCCACACATTTCAGGACCTACATTCTCTTTGGTGACATCCTTTCTGCCACTTCCCTTACATAACTCTGTTATTAGTGATGACAGTACCTGGATGGATGGGTATTCAAGTGAATACCGAATGGTGCTATCTTGGAGATGTTCAATGGACAATTCTTAGTCCAATTTGAGTTCTACTAGACAGAAAAAAAATGGTTTTGTATAAATTTTCTATTTGCTTATCTGTGTACATGTTGTTTCCTTCAATAGAATGCAGGCTTCTTGCATACTATGTCTTTGGAATCATTGTGCCCCTGCTACCTTTTACAATGTCTGGGACACTGCATATGTTTTATAAATAAATGTTTATTAACTAACTGACACAGTAGGTGTTTAATAAATACTTGGGGAATTGGATTGCCTTTGAGGTCCCTGTGGACTTTAGTACCCTGAAATTCTGTGACTCAACCTCCAAAGCCCATGTTTTCTAATTACTTCAGGAAGATTCAAAGCATATTTCTCCTATCCATTTTCTATCCTTTGGAACACACTTCATTGCTTTCCTGATCTGCTGAGGGACAAGTGGCCAAATACACCAAAACAGATTCTCTCCTTAAGGTAACTTTCCAGCAAGCCTTACGGTAGGACTGAGTCATTCAAACATGTGAATGAAGCTGACATGAATTACACATGTGTTCTTGGTGGTTACTTTTTAAAGACTACCTTTTTCTATAACTGTTTTCATGTAAAATGTTGGCTCTTCTGTTCTGGGAAAAAAACTGTTCTGGGAACAGTGTTTTTTTAAGTTTAACTGTTTATTCTTTAAGAAAAAAAGTAACTTGAATATATAGCATAAACTCTGTTTCTAAATAATCTACTAGTGGTTTGTACAAATTAATTGACAAACAGGCAAACAAGGATAATTTCTAAGCAATGTCTGATACTTGGTTAAGTGACAAAGTTGATCAATATTTCTTGGTCCTTCTGAGACTCTCCATGCCTTCTAGAAAAACTATTCAGTCACTCAAAAACTGGAAGGTAGAAAGTTTTTCATCTTGAGATACCCAGAGTCACATCAGTTTTAAGACCAGGCTCAGTCTACTCAGTACAACATATATCAACTCTTTCATCTTTTTCAACTCACAAAAACTCCATCTTTAATGACTTAAGAATGAGGAAAGGAATGTTGTACCTTGCTTACATCAAAGATGCTCTGGAGGTAAGAGGCTGGGGGTGAGGGGGAGCTCACAAGATCACACACATAGGACATAAGCCAAGCAACCAATTTAAGAAGGAGGTAGACCACCACAAGGGAATAGAAACTCCCTAGTGAGGCTGTATAGAATTCAAGGTAGACAGGTTTCAGCTGTAACAGCAATACAAGTTTATATGTCTCTAGTGAGTGAATGCATCATGAAAAATAGGCAGTGATTATATTATTATCTCAAATTTATGGGAGAGGAAAGTACAGAGTGAGGGGTGGAGAGGTAAACTGACCAGTCTACCCTCCCCACAGCTAGCAAGAGTTGAGCCGGGTATCCTGACTCCAGATCCACTATTCTTGGATTCAATTCAGTTCAAACCCAGGTCTCCTAATTCCCAGGCCAACATTTGCTGATCTGATTCAGTTCAATATGTATTCATTAAGCAACTCCCAAGTTCTAGACATTGTACTAGTCTTCAAAGAAACAAAGACAAAAAAAAATGAGAGCTCCTGCCCTCAAAGAACTTATGGTCTACTGAGGGTTAGGGATGGGAAGTGACAGATACTTCAGGTACAGAGATAAGTAAATACAAAGTATATACATGAATACACAAAGTATAAACATGTAAACACAAAGTATAGGCAGCTAGGTGGTACAGTGGAAAGAGCACTGGTCCTGGAGTCAGAAAGATCTAAGTTCAAATTTGGTATCAGACATTTACCAGCTGTGTGATCCTGGGCAAGTCATTTAATATCTTGGCTGCCTCAGTTTCCTCATTTATAAAGTTGAGATAATAATGGCACCTACCTCCCAGGGTTATTACAAGGATCAAATGAGAGTATTCGTAGAGTGCTTTGTGAGCTTTAAGGGGCTATATAAATGCTAATTATTATTACTATTATTTACATAATACATGCTCATAAATACGAAGCATATTAAAGAAAAGCCCACTGCTCTAATACTCCATGTTACCAAGATACTAGAAAGAAGTTTAAGTTACAATCTTGCTTCTATTCCCTCGGATGAAAACAAGATGTATTCCTGCCTCTACCTCCCAGGAAAATTCAGAGAGGTTCACATGTCTTCTTCTCATCTCCTCCAATCCCAGGGAAGAAAATTAGGTATAGCAATTGCTGCCCCCATTTTAAAGATAAAACCTGGTCTGTGGGAAATCTCATAGCTCTTCAGAAGAGAAGCCAAGTCCTTCAGCTCAGACCCGGTTGTTCTGTTCGTTAGAATCAAGGATGGCCTGAGGTGAGTTTTAACATCAGATAAGAATGATACAAAGATTGAGTGAGTTGTATTTTTAGGCTTTTAGGACCACCTACCAATGCATTTCAGTATGTAAGTAAAGAAATTCTTTTCTTCCCTAGGCCTAAAGTCATTCCTTATACTTTATCTAGCTTTTGATATTCACGTCAGAAATGAAAAACAGAAAAATGGATGTCAATTGATGGGAAAAGTCTGCAACAACAACAATAAAATCTTCCCTTAGTGGCATTAAGAAATGTAAGAACAATCTACCATCTACTGGTAAGAGTCAATCAGCCATCCATCAACTTGATGAGAAAAAACAGTTGCAAAAATATCAAAATCCAAGCAACCTCTCAATGATCCTTTCCTCAAGATGATACGCTAATAAACACCAATATCTCTATTTCTTAAGATGTTACAGACATCTACATTCTAACATTCCTGTGTCCCTAACATTAGCTCAGAATGAAACCATATGCCACAAACTAGGAGCATTTTAAGCAGTAGTCATGTTCCACAGAATAGGACTTGTTTAAAATGTGTTATCCTGAATATCCCAGCTCCCTGAAGCCAGAGCTAAATATCTTCATTAGCTCATTAGTAATGAGATATTTCCAGCATTTGGACGATTTATTGCAGCTTGTCAGAGGGGCAGATTTTGCTTCTCCCCACAACGTACAATCGGATTCCATGCCTTCTGTCATCATATGCTTAAAAATAAATGTTTACATGCCACCACATTTACAGAAAATCTCTTCCTCATCGATTTATGTGAACTCTTGAGAAACTTTCTCTCTTAGTTTATTACATATACATTGACATATTACATTGTAAAGAATATATAGTCTCCCAAGTCAGAGGACTTAGGTTCAATTGTGCCTCTGATATTTATTACCTTTGTGACCTTAGGAAAGTTCTACATCTCTCTCTCTCTCTCTCTCTCTCTCTCTCTCTCTCTCTCTCTCTCTCTCTCTCTCTCTCTCTCTCTCTCTCCCTCAGCTTCCTTTCCTATTGAATGAGGAGATTAGATTAAGGTCCCTTCCTTCTCTGGATCCAGGATGAGTTGATCTGATGATAGTTAAAAGCAAGAGAAATTCTATTTAGCTACCCTCATTATGCCCACTTTGCTGGGGTTCAGTGAGGAAATTTCCATGTCTCAGCTTTCGCTCCCCATGTCAACATTTGATTCATGTCCTCCTTGAAGACAAGTCATTATCCCAAGCACCACTTCGATTCACATCTGCTGGTCCTGCTGATACTGATGGGAGTGTGTGTGTGTGTGTCTGTGTGTGTGTACTCACTATCTCCTCTGATTGAAGGCAAACTCTTCGAAAGCAAGGACTGCTTCATGTTTGTCCCTCAGCTGCTAATTCCCTTCTACCCCATCACCTTGTATTCATTTTGTAATATATGTCATACATACATGCATACACATATGGATACATATGTCTATATGGCTATGTATATATACATGGGTATGTGTATGTTTATTTGTGTGTGTATACTTACAAAGAAAAGGGGGTAGGTGGAGAGGGAGGGGGGAAAAAGAGAGAAAAAGGAGGGGAAGGGAGGGAAGGGGAAGAGAGAGAAAGAGGAGAAGGAAGAGGGAGAAAGGAGAGAGGGAAGGAGGGAGAGAGAGAAGGAAAAGGAGAGAGAGAGAGAGAGAGAGAGAGAGAGAGAGAGAGAGAGAGAGAGAGAGAGAGAGAGAGAGAGCACACCAGCCTTCACATAATGTAAGCTCCATGAAGGCAGGGGCTCTTCCAATTTTGTTCTATATCCCTCGGACATGGCACAATTCCTGGCACTTCGTAGGCATTGCATCAGGACCTACAGATTAATTGATTGTATTGACTTTACATCCCCAGAGCCCAGCACAATGCTTCCCACATAATATTTACTTAATAGATGATTTTTAATTGATTGCATGTCTGCACAGGGGCAGCTAGGTGGCGCAGTGGATAGCACACTGGCCCTAAAGTCAGGAGGACCTGAGTTCAAGTCCGGTCTCAGACCAAACACTTGACCCATACTAGGTGTGTGACCTTGGGCAAGTCACTTAACCCCAATTGCCTCACTAAAAAAAAAAAGACTGTATGTCTGTATCTGGGGTTGGAGTCTTGGTGCTGATCTAGCAGGTGAGGGACAATCCTTAAAGATATGAAGGAATATGAGAATTCTTATCAAACAGGGACTGTTGAGCTTTTTCTTGCCCTGAACCCCTTGGGCATTCTGGTGAAGCTCATAGACTCCTTCTTAGAATCATGTTTTTAAGTGCATAAGATAAAGTACATAGCATTATCAAGGAAACCAATTATAATGAAATATAGTTATCAAAATATTTGTTTAAGTTCATGGACCCCAGGTTGAAGATCTCTTCTATAGAGGAGCTAGCTGTTCTGGCTCCTTCATCTCCAGCTACAAAAGCTCTGTAATTTGCAAGCAAGCACCTCTTCCACTAAAGTTAATTTGACAATGAATGTGTGACAAAGGAAGTCAATTAGCTCAAAGAAAACATGGCAGTGCTCACTGATTCTCTGCTATTTCCAAACAATATCAGTAACACTAACGAGGACAGAAGGAAGAGGGAGAAGGTAGTCTCATCATGGAGCCATTGACAACAGGGAAAAATCAGGAATCCAGGGAATCAGGTCCAGTGCAGAACATAGCTCTGGGGGCCACAAAGCTGCCCCCTGAGAAAACCCCTGCCACCAGTGCTCTTGGGAGATCTATTTCCTATGTCTTTCTGATTCTACCTATCACAAATGTACTACCTATCACAGATGAATTCCATTTTAGTTACTCCATATCCCTTGGTATAAACTCTGGTCCTCCTTATGACTGCCCCCACGCAGTCTCAGGTCCAGTTTCATCATTGGTGAGAACAGTATTTGAGGGAGGATAACCCAGAAAGCTTTGAGAGTCCGTGTGCTTTCATGGATAGAATGCTGGACTTGGAATCAGGAAAACCTGGGCTTGACAGTTACTGCATCACCTGGGAAAGCCATTCCACCTCTATGAACCTCAGTTTCCTTATCTGTAAACTGAAGGTGTTAGACTCTATGATATCTAAGGCCACTTCCAACTCTTAATCTAGCACCATTTCTTTGCATGTGCACCCACAGTGGGGTAGCGAAAGAAAGAAATAACTTTCTATTACAAACTGTTTTACAATAAGAACAGATTGTTAGGAGTTAACAGTCTTTCCTTGAGGGCTAAACAATTACGATCTTAAATCTCGATTACTTTAATAGGTCTGTTCCTCATACAGGAATCCTATGTTCTCTGCTGAAAAGGAACCAAGAGCCTCAGCTTTCAAACACTGGTAAGATTTTTCAAATGCAGGGGAAGTTGGCAATAGGGAAAGATACAAGACTGATCTTCCTTTGCTGGTTATCTAGGGATATAAGTTTGAGGCGGGGAGGGGGCACAGGAGGCCAGGAATACCTAGGCAGAGATTAGCTGAATCCTAAAGCAGCTGACACTTTCAAACTCTGCTTTTTGGCAGGGCTGCACTTGGTAGTGATTTGTAAAAGCATTGGAAATAAGAAAGAATACCCATTCAAATGACTTATGATGATAACAGTAATAATAGAGCATTTTAAAGTTTGAAACATACAAATATCATCTCATTTTATCCCCAGGACAACCCTGGGAGGTAAGTGCTATTACTATCACCCCATTTTGCTGGTAAGAAAACTGAGGCAGAGAGAAGTTAAAAAGTCTCACCCAGGGACACAGAGTAAATGCCTAAGGCTGGATTTGAACTCAGGTCTTCCTGATTCCAGATCCAGTGCTCTATCCACTATGCCTTCTAGATGCCCCTAAATATTATATGGGCAACAAAGAGAGGATTTTTTTTGAAAGATCTTGCCTACAATCAAAGACCAGTGAATTTTCTCTTAAAGTTAATCCATGGGAATGAGAGGACAACTAAAGTGAAGCCAAGCTTTTCACTGTTCCTGACAGGACTTAACGCCATTGAACGTAGAGTAATGTAACATGACCAATTCGGGTATATATATATATTCCATCTCCCCAAAAGAAGGCAAACTCTTTGACAGCAGAGACCAATTTATATTCTTTGTCTCTATGTCCTAAGCATTAGAATAGTTTTTTGTATCCACTGGGTGTTTAATTAGGGCTTGTTGAATGGATGGATGGATGACCAAAATAACATAAGGAACTCTGTTGTTAGGACTGTTTCTTGATCCAGATCTATGATTTCATTGGTACAGAGTAATCCCAATGAGAAAGTGGTTTCTATCAATGCAATTAAGCTATTATCCTTTCACATATGATCTGAGTTATCTGAAGTGACCTCCCCAGCTTCACACAGTTAGTAAATGTCTGAGGTCAGATTTGAACTCAGGAAGATGAGTCTTCCTGACTCCAGGTCCGGTGCTCCATCCACTGTATCACTTGGCATATTGACTGTGTTTTAAAATATAATGTAATCTATATTTTATTGTATTTTTCTTTATTATGTTAAATATTTCCCAATTACATTTTGTTCTGGTTCTGGCCATACTCTGGAGTGTTGTGGGCTACATGCAGCATGTATTTGACACTTCTAGACCAGAGCAGCAAATACTGTAGAAAGGTCAGGGAGAATCTTGTACATGAAAAAAAACAGTGATCACAGGATTTAGAGCTTAAGAATACTTACAGATCACCTACTCTAAGGCTCCCATTTTAAAGATGAGAAAACTGAGATCCAATATGTTAGGCTACGGTATGTGAAGAAAATACACAAAGCTTCACACCAAGTTGATGTAACTACAAGGCTAAACTATTTATTTATTCAGTCATTCCTTTGCATATTTAAAAGTGGGGCCATCTTATCTGGCTCAGGGCAGATGTGAAATGGCCACTCCCAGTACTGATTGGACCAGGAGCTTTTACACACTTTGTTTCCAGCCTGCTCTGGTTTGCCCTTCCTTCAGTAGTCTAATGGCTCCTTCCTCTCACAGGCATACCATACTGGTACCATGCTTGGTAGGGGCACCCATACAATTTTTACCATATTGCAATTCAGAACTACTGAACTCAAGCAATCCACCATTTGTAGCTTTCCCAGCAGCAGAATTATGAGTGTATACTATCCCACCCAGCCTGGAATTTACCGATAAGAGTACAAAAAACAATTTAGTGCACATAGTCACTCATACAGGAAGGGTGCCAAAAAAAAAAGGTTTGACCTGTGTCACTCATTTGTCCTGGTTCAGAAAAATTAAGCCAAAAAATTAGAACAGAACAGTCCAAGAGGGCTCTTCACACATTAGGGTTCTGTAATTTTATACTGCTGTATACTATAGACCAAGGAAATTGAAACCTCTGGCCAACAGGGTAAACCAATTTCAAGTACTTATGGATATGTTAACCATGAGTATATCAGATAAGAATAAAGACTAAGATTTTGAGAATTTTTTTGGCAGTGAAAGGGGAAATAGAAGTACTATATTCACTAATATTCATAAGACAGTCTAGCTATCTTTCTCAACCTCCATCCCCAATCTTATCTAAACTGCCTGTATTACCAGGAAAAGGGAAGTGATTTGATCATGATCACACTGATAATAATTGTCAGAACCAACACCTGAGTCCAGGCGTTCTGGCTTTTCATCTAATGTTTTATACAATATACCACAGCACCTTTCTAGATTACATAAAAATATGCCAGGCTGGCATTAATCAATTACTAACCTCTGCCTTCTCTAATTACCTTTCCATGC